CGGTCTTCCGAATGCAACGTCCCTTCTATACCAAGCCTGATAATCAGGCGACACTTCTCCTTTGGCTCGATCTCGAACACAAGTGTTTGCCGTCAAATATTGACATTCGCTCCAGACTGGCGGACCATTGCTTCAGGAAACTGGCCATCAGGGCCAATCTCAACCACTTGCAAATCTAAGATCATCATCCTTGGGTACTATCTGGCATCTCCCCAGCTGCCTCAACACTCGATACGGTGCGTAAGGCTGAATGCTTCTAAGCCCCATCAGAAGGAAATGTGGTCGGGCTGCCGGCATATATACGATTTCATCAACGGGTAACCATCCCAGTGTCCACTCTATTTGGCTAGCAGTGAGGGACCGAAAATATGTTGTCCAACCCGTGACTCCTTCTGGCAATTCGGCCCCTTTAATCCTCGTGTAAAACTCTTCTATACATGTTTTTTTTGGAGACCCGTAGCTCAAAAACTGAGGACGAACACAGATGCTCGATCATCCACATTTGTAACAATAGACTGCACCCCTCGAAGAAAGCTTCCCCGGCCTTGCAGGCTGTAAGAGCACGGAAGATGTCGGCCAATATCATAGGTGCAAGTGTACTTTTGGCTTGAGTAATTAACGTGCTGAGGACCCCAGCTATTTTTATGTCAATGTTCCCATCCTTCCTTGGAAATTTTAAAAGCCCCAGGAAAGCTACCATAAAGGCGAAACGTCGATGCTCCTCCCATTTCTGGCGGTTTCCTTGCTACATATCTTGCTTTCTGGGTTGTTGAACCCCCCGATATGGCCATATCGATGATATATGAAGCTCAGAGTACAAAAGCCATTTGCCAGATTGGTGTTATGGACGGTTCTGACTATCTTCAAAGAGTCTAGAAATCTGTGCACGGCTACAACTCTGGGGGCAACCAAGTATTTGTGCCTCAACGGAACCTCATCCTTTCCAATGTAGCCAGCTATTTCCTCTAATGTCGGGGTAAGCTCAAAGTCCGAAAAATGGAACAAATTATGTGCTGGGTCCCAACATGTAACCAGTGCTCTAATAATATCTCCCTGAGGCACAATATCGAGTAAACCAGTAAGCCCTTTCAAATGTTTCTTGACTGCATCTTGCCCTTCTCCGCCTAAATCATTCCACCACAGACGTAACTCCAAAGGGATTTTATGCATGATTGAAAATAATTCATTTTGAGTCGTGCTCATCCTGCACATTTATTAAGGTGATTTTAATCACTTATTTTGACCTAAAAGAGAAAAATGACACCATTTCTGTTCAAATTTCCAATTTAAACAAACAGCCGGTTTTGCGGATACGGCCTTTCAGCACTTCGTAAAGAAGATTTTAAGGCTGTGCTTACTAACCGTTTAAAAATGACTCAGGGTGGTTGTTCTTGCAAAAACAGCCTTCCGGCATCCTTTTGAGGGACATTCGGCTTATTTTAAACAAGAATGGCGGCACCCGACTTATTCATGATGAAATTAAAATCTTGGCATTTTTTGGCTATTTTTGAAAAAAAGGGGAGGTTGGACCCGATGAGGGTTGCCTACTTATCTCACATCCGGTGAGAATCAAGCCAGCGTAGTTCGGGCAAATAAATCTAACTATTGTTGAAAACAAAACTCTTTTTTTTTGTTGGCGAATACACTATTTCTGAAAGCAAGATTCTTTTTTATATTTTCTTTTTCAGTGGCAAATAAAACGAACTAATTTGAAAAATAAAGCTCTTTTTGTTTTTCTTTTCCATTGGCAAACAAAACAAACTAAAAAAAACTTTTCTTCTTTTTTTCTTTCATTGTCTCAAAAATCCGGCAGCATTTCGGCACTACTTGGCCATTGGTTTTTCTAATATAGGTAATTAACTCTCCACACTACTATTTTTTCTTTTCCCCTTTTGTTTTTCAATTTTCCAGATATTCAAAGCCGGTCAGCATGCGAGTCCAAAACAGATAAATGCACAAGTAGGATGCATCAGGATGGTCCATTATTCCGGGTACACCTGTCCTAGACGGACCCAACCCCTGTGTTGAGTCCCCTAAGTCAAAATGCACGTGATGCAGATAAGCGATCCTACTAGGGATCCGGCATGAAGTCAAGTTCTTCTAGGTTCAAAACCTGGGTATGTGTTCTAGACTGTGTACCCGAGCGGACAACTCGAGTCGAGGAGGGGGCTACGTACCGGGAACCAAAAGGCCATCCGGCTTAGTAACTTGTCCGGCCTCTTTCTTATTTCAGGGTATTGACACTAACAGAATAGGGAGTCTCAACCAGTAAGCACATCCCCGGAGGTGAGAAGAGAAGGGTTTCGCCACAGTTTATATACAGTTCAGATAATATCAAAGCGGTAAAAAGCAACATTTTGCACATTTAGCATGAAACATGTAGGAAAATCAGATAAAGCCAAATACAACAATATATCTAAGCTCGAATTCTGAACCCTGAACCGAAGTTCTGGGTTCTTGTCCCCAGCAGAGTCGCCAGAGCTGTCACACCTCCTTTTTTCCTACACCTGTGAGGGCGTAAAGGAGTTTTTCCACTTAAAGGACAATCGGAACGGGATTTATTATTAATATTCAGAGTCGCCACTTGGGAGATTAATGGTGTCCCAAGTCACCGGTTGAATCCCGATCCGAGGAAATTATGACTCTGTTAACAGTCCGCGAACCAGAAATCCGAGTAAGGAATTCTGTTAACCCGGGAGAAGGTGTTAGGCATTCCCGGGTTCCGTGGTTCTAGCACGGTCGCTCAACTGTTGTATTTGATTTTATCTGATTTCACAACGTATTCTAGCTTATGTGCTTTTAATGGTAAACCGCTTTTATTTTATTTTTAGTAAGAATTGCAACGTCGTGAAAATGCG